TTCCTTTGTTCTTTCATTTGGGGCTTGTTTTTTTTTTTTGTCTCCCCATTTTGGCTGCCTATTTGGGTTTGTTTCTGTGTATTAGGTAGGCCTGCTAGGACTCTCAGTCTTCTTGGAAGGTCTCTGGTGCAGGGCAATGCCAGATGCTGTTTGTGACTAGCCTTAAGTACCCTGTTTGGAGCTATCAACAACCCACAGCTTGAGGTCCCCTCTGTTGGGGCTGGGTGTATTTGGGCATGACCAAGGTGCCCACCAAAGTCTGCTTTTCCAAGGCCCAGGTCCAGAAGCAAATCAGGCAAAGACTCAAAACACTGTGAAGTCTGCCTCTGCCTGCAGGTTGATCAATCTGATTTCTTAATGAACCTCAGGCTATAGAAACTCCACAGGGTAAGGCGAGAGGTTTTCCATCAGGGTGAGGCTATTGCTTCCCCCTCAGGCAAAAGCTGCTTGGAAGGTAAATGTCTGCCTGTGAAAGATGTCCTCTGCTAATAGGGGAATGACTCATCACAGGGATCCAGAGGGTAGCCCTCTGAGCTCTATCTCCAGAGCCCACAATCCTAGATTCTCCTCATATAGCTCCAGTCCACTCTGCCCTCCCTCTGCTGGAGCCCAGGGTGAGTGGCTGCACATGAAACTTTGTGCTTTGGCTCTTTAAGAGGGTGCCTGCAGTTCCAACCATCTCTCCCTGGCAGACAGAAACCCTGCTGCTTTTCACAGCCAGATGTTATGTGGGCACCTTTCTCAGTTCTGGTGCTCTTGGCTGGGAATCCCAGCCTGGGATTTAGGCCCCAGAGTCCTCAGTGGGAACCCCCCACAGCTGAGATATCCCTCCGGACTTTCAGCTGCTGCCTATAGGAGCCCAGCCAGCCCTCTTGCGCCTCCACACTTCCTTCCAGTCTCTATGTGGTCTCCACTTTTTCTCCTTGATTATGAAGGTGCTCTCCAGCTTATCTTCAGTTGCAGTTGATTGTTCATGATTTTTCTATATTTTAATTGTAATTCCAGTTTGGTCCCGGGAGAGTGTCAGTGTAGCTTCCACTTAGTCCACTACCATCTTTAATCCAGGTTTTCCTTTTTTTAAAATTGCAATGGTGCCGCCCTCCAAAAGTTCCCATATACTCTATTGTGTGTTATTTTTTCCTAGCAATTGTATTAATTACCTTATATATTTCACCATTTTATTTTGTTTATGGTCTGTTTGTCCCCATTAGAGTGTGAACTCCATGACAGCAAGGATTGTTCTGTTTTGTTCACTGGGCCAGGCACAAAGTAGGTAGCTTAATATTGAAATGGTCTTGTCATTTCTCTGCTTAAAACCCTTAAGTGACCCTAGTTGGTTTGGCTCAGTGGTTAGAGCATTGGCCTGCGGACTGAAGGGTCCTGAGTTTGATTCCAGCCAAGGGTGTGTACCTCAGTTGCAGGCTGTATCCCCAGCCCTGCACAGGGTGAGTACAGGAGGCAGCCAATTGATGTGTCTCTCTCACATCAATGTTTCTCTCTCTCTCTCTCCCTTTCACTCTCTCTGAAAAGCAATGGAAAAATATCCTCGAGTGAGGAATAAAAAAATACACCCCCCCCAAAAGAAACAAACAAACCAAAAAAAACCTTCAGTAGTTACCCACTGCCTATACAGTCAGGTTCACAATTCCTTAGTTTGTTGTAAAAGGTTCTTACCCATTTTCTTTTCCTCCAAGTCCTCAACCCTGGGCTACACTAACACTAAACTGTGTATCTTAAAACTCCCCAACTATTCACAGCTTGCTGCTCTTCCTCTTGCTATTCCTCTGCCTAGAAGGGCCTTTTTGTGTTCCCTCTCCCAATCCTGGAAAAATTGTACCCAACTTTCTAAAATTGGTTCATGACTGCTGACCTGTGCCACTACCCCCTGTCCCCCTTGCCTTGTAAGAATTGACCACTTCCAGGCTGATGATCTCTCTGCGTTCTATGTGCACTTCTCTCACAGTACCCGTCCGAGTACCTAACACAGTGCTACAGCATAAATATTTGTTGATGAGTGACTTCTGCCTGTATCCTTTCCTCTTACTCTAAACTGATTTTCTGGAAGGCATAGTTCTGTGGGCTTCTGAAGGGCAGGGGGCCTGTCTTATTTACTTCAGTCTTCAAGTGATCATTCAGCAATGATTTATCGAGCTCCTGACACAGTGGCAGGCACTGTGCTAGACAACTGGGATACAGGTGTGGAAATGAGACATATGGCTCATCTTTAGTGAGCTGACATTTTGGGGAAAAGACAGACATCCCACAAATGCTTTCAGAGTTAGTTACATCTATAAGTGGTACAACAGAACAGAATGCTATAATAGGGATGATTTGATAGGTGGGCAGTGTGTGTAAGTAAGAGATGCTCCTTGCCCTCAAAGAGCTTACTCTAATGGAAGAGGAGGCATGGCCACAGATAATGTCAAAGTAATGGTAGCTACTGGCCATTGAGCACTGACTTAAACCCTTAAGTGATTACCCACTGTCTACACAAAAAGTCACAATTCCATAGTTTGATGTTAGTTTTCCGTTCCTCCAAACACAACCCTGGGCTACTAACACTGAACTGTGTGTATCCTAAACCACCAGACCATTCACAGACCTAGTGCTACACATTGTGCTTCACATACAGAATCTCATTTCATTTTCCTATGAGCTCTATTTGCTATGGATTATTATTACCATTTTAAAGATGATGAAACTGAAGCACAGAGAGGAAAATTCATTGGCCCAAACCACCTAGTAAGTGGCAGAGCTATTAGGCCTGTCTTCATTGTACTGTTTCCGGGTAATGAAATGCCAGGTTCATCAGGGACCAATGGCTACATTGTCAGTTACTGAAGGAAATCAGGGAGCTTGGGGTCTGATCAATCTTTCAGCAGCAGCCCTGTGGGTAACTGGACACCCCCCCCCCCAATATAGTTCTTGTCTCCTGGGTGCTGTACCCAACTCAGGACTTTTTCCTGCCAGGCCTCAGCTCTCAGCCTGGAGGGCCCAGCTGCTTACCTGTACGCATTTCATCGACCCTGGCTTGCTGTTGCTCCTGTATCTGCTTCTCCAGGCTGTACCTGAGCTGCTCCCGCTGCATTCTCAGGCATGTGGCCTTCTCTGGGTTGTCCCCAGAGAAGCACTGAAGGCTGGACGCTCCACAGTAGGAATCACTGTTACCACGAAGGGCTGGAAACCCCTTCCAGAGTTGGTCTGGACCCCAAAGGTTAAATTCACGCTTATTCTTGAGCTGCTGTTTCTGCTCCCGAAACTCCTGGACTTTTTTGGCCAGCCGGCGTGTCCGTTCTGCCTCTTCCTTCTCTAGCATCTGGGCTACCAGATCATACTGCATCTGGATGGTACCTGGGAGTGGTGGGCAGGGACATGGAGAAGGCCCCATCGGAGGGAGACCCCACTCAGCAGGCCTCTGCTCCCAAGGCCCATCTGGTTTGTTCTGCCACACCCCAGGCCTCAGGCCCACTCTGAGGTGGAACTGCCTCATCTCAGCCCACTCAGTCCCTTCCATCCTTCACCTTGGCAGGCCTCTGGCCTTGGGTTTTGTTTTGTTTTGTTTTTTTAAAATATATCTTTATTGATTTCAGAGAGAGGAAGGGAGAGGGACAGAGATAGAAACATCAATAATGAGAGAGTCATTGATTGGCTACCTCCTGCACACCCCCGACCAGGGATTGAGCCTGCAACCCGGGCATGTGCCCTGACTGGGAATCGAACCTTGATCTCCTGGATCATAGGTCGATGCTCAACCGCTGAGCCATGCTGGCCGGGTGAGGCCTTGGGCTTTTACCGTAAGCTTCATCCTTGCTCTGCTCTGCTGCCTCCCGAAGCTTCCGCTCTTCCACCTGGCTGTTCAGGGCTCCAACATCCACCTGATCCCAAAAGAAATGAGCTAAATCATGGCAGGGGCCCAGCAGCAGATTTTACACTGCTCAGAAATCCTGTTTCAAAATTCTCCTATAGCCTGGCAGGTGTGGCTCAGTGGTTGAGCGTCAACCCAGGAACCAAGAGGTCATGGGTTGATTCCTGGTCAAGGCACATGCCCGGGTTATAGCTTCAACCCCCAGGAGGCAGCAGATCGATGATGTTTCTCTCTCTTCGATGTTTCTATCTCTCTATCCCTTTCCCTTCTTCCTCTCTAAAAATAAATAAAAATGTGTTTTAGAAGAGAATAAAGTCCTAGCCAGTTTGGCTCAGTGGTTAGTGCGTCGGCCTGAGGACTGAAGGGTCCGGGGTTTGATTCCGGCCAAGGGCACATACCGCGGTTGCAGGTTCAAGCCCCACGTTCGTGAGGCAACCAATTGATGTGTCTCTCTCACATCGGTGTTTCTCTCATTCCCTCCCTCTTCCACTCTCTCTGAAAAAGCAATGGAAAAAATATCCTCGGGTGAGGATTTAAAAAAAGAGAGAGAGAGAATAAAATGATTTTTAAAATCCTCCTATAGATCCCTAATACCTACTAGGTAATGTTCCACCATCTCAGCATGGTTTGTAAACCCCTCAGTGGTCTAGCTTCTGCCTTGTTCTCCAACCTCATCTCAGTACCCTCTTCCCCTGTCCCACTCTCAGGAGCTCCGTGCTTACAGTTTCCTGCACATCTTATGCTGTTTTGCACAGACAGTTTTTGCTCCAGCCACTCCTTCTGCTTGGAACACTCTCCCCTCTTTACCGAAACTCCTAATCAGCCCTTTAGCTCAGGCTTTCACTTTCCCACTGTCCACATTATATTGAAGTTTAGACAAGTTTAGTCTCTGTTGATGATTTTCTCCACCAGACTGTGAGCCCATTAAGGGCCGAGGCTGGGCCTTAGCTTTGTGTCCCTCCTGTGCAACCCAGTGCTTGGCACAGAGCAGGCCTTAGGAAACGCCTGCCAACTGGATCTCAGTCACACCACTCAACCCTCAGCCAATTGCTTACTTGTGCCAGGCACTATGCTCTGGTTTCCAGAGCTGCTACCATAAGTTAATATTTCCTTTAGCCTCATTTTACCCGAGAGGGGTGGAGCTTAGAGCTCAGAGAAGACATTTGACTCGCCCAAAGCCACACATCTAGTACATGGCAGACCTGGCCCTTGAGCAGGTATGGGGTCTTCTCCACAAGACCATGCTGCATCGTCCCTTTATCCACCCCACCCAACAATCTATTTTTTCTTGAACTATCACTATTTTCTCTTTATTATTATAATTCATTCATTTAAAATGTTTCAAAATGGTGCCAAAGGGAATACAATCTAGCTAAGAATCAGTGTCCCTCCCACCTCTGTTCCTCAGCCTGCTTAACAGTTTCTTATGTAGCCTTCCACAGAGAGTTTAGACATATGCAATATCAAATATGCTTTAGACTTCTTTTGGCTCCATGCTGTTTGTCTCTCAAGAGCCAGGCCTCTTGGCCCAGAGCTGACTGGAGAAGAGTCAGCTGTCATGGGCTCTTCCTCCGCCAGTCTCTCCCCCTGCAGCCCAAACACCTTCCCAGGCCCTTCCCAAGCCTGAGGGCGGGTGCCTTCTCCCCCTTGCCTTCCTTTCCAGCCCTAGGACCTGCTCAAATCAGGGAGGGGTTGTAACAGGCACTGCTATATTCCTCTCCAGGTGCAAAAGTGAGGTCGCTCTGGGTCCCAAGAAAGTCCCCCCTGCCCACTCACCCCTATGACTCGGGTCCGCACATCAAAGAATCGTTCCTGTCGCTCCTTTTCTCGATTTCGTCTAGCTTCAATGGCTGCCACCTCCTTGGGATCTGGTGGCAGGTTTAGTGAAAACATCTGGAAAAGGGGCGAGGTGGGATGGCCAATCAGTGCTATACTCAACCCCCATTCTTTTCTCCCCATAGTATCCCACTGGTTGTTGATTCCCATTGATTTTCCTTCCTGTTAATGTTGCATATTTGTGTCCTCCATCTCTGCCATCACCACCCAAATTCAGGCCTCACACTCTGGTGCCAGGCAATATTTCCAGGAGCCTCACTGGCCTCCCTTTCCTCAGTGCTCCCCTCCCTTGCGCCAGTGCTCCCTTGCCCCAGCTCTGCACTGGCTACCAGGGTGCTCCTTCTGAAAGTGAATCTGACCATGGCACCCCTCGGTTTAAAACCTTTAAAAAGCGCGTTAAAGCAAATGGCTTCTCAGTGTTCACAAGATAAAGTCTACCCCCACCTGCTAGATTTATAAGGGTGTTTCCATGACCTGATCCCTGCTCACCTTTCCAAGTCTCAAACTCATCCACAACACTCTCCCTTTCACATTATGCTTTACCCAGTTTTCCTCATCTCAGTAAATGGCATCACCATTCCCCCTTTATTTATTTTTATTATTCTGTAGCTGAATGAAAGGTTAGAGGGCTTAAATTTTCCTGTGTCCTTTCATATTTTGGGAAGCCCATTTTTGGAATGTGAGCCACACAAAGCCACAGCCAAAAATACAGTGCAAACATAAATCTTTTTGTGTCCCTCAGGGACTCTGCGCTAAGACATGAAATGTGCTCCTGAGGGTACAGAGCCCCTTGCCTCCAGGAAATCATCCTAACACAGAGGCCTCAGCTATTCTGAGGAAAGAAAACAGATTTGGGTTTTCGAAATCAAGTGGGATCTAAAGCCTGAAATAAATATTCTTACTTTACATTAAAAAAATTCTTACCATGTCTCTCACCTGCTTGAAACACTCCACTGCCTCCCCACTGCACTTAGAATCAGATCCAGTTCCTGTGCACCTCACCAGTTCATCTCATGCCAACAGCTCCCTTGCTTACAGCACTCCAGGTGCACTGGTATCAAGTCTTCCAGTGAAATAACTGTTCCTACCTCAGGGCCTTTATACACAGCCATTGTTTTGTTTGAAACACCATTTCTCAACCCCTTCTACAGCTAGTTCCCATCTTTTGTTTTTAAAACCATTTTATAACTAGTGAAATAGTAGATACATACAGAAGAATATATATAACTCATATGTAAGTTAGGAAGCATGATAAAATAGAGACCCATGAACCAATTCTCCAATTTAAGAAATATAACATGATCAGTACTACTAAGTATCTTGTATCTCTTCTCCCTTATCCTTACCCTGAGAGATAACCATTGTCCAAAACATCACCACTCCCTTGCGAATATGCATTAATATACTGTGTGTACCATTCCATGAACAATAGTTTAAAACATTTTCATGTCTTGGAACTTCATAGAATATTATGAAGTATGTATTATTCCACATCTTGCTTTCTTCTTTTTTCTAATCTTGCTTTTTTCACTCATGTTCATTCTATCATTTAACAAATATTTGTGGAGTGCCTACTGTCAGACACTGTTTTAAGCATTGGGAGACATCAAGGAGCATAAGTGATAAAAATCTGAGTCCTTGTGGAGGTTATTTTTTAGTGGGGGCAGACAAACAATACAATAGAGTATATTAAATAGTTTGTAAGAAGATCATAAATGCCATAGGAAAAAAAATAGAGCAGAATAAGGGGAAATGAAAGTACCAAGGAAATGGGGAGGGGTGTTTCAATTTTAAATATGGACGTCAGGGGACACATAACTAAGAAGGTACTATTTGAGTGAATAGTTGAAGAAAGTAAGGGAGTCACCTATGCAGATATCTAGGAGGGGAGCACTCCAGGCAGAAGGAACAGCAAGTTTGAAGGCCTTAAGATGGACACACATTCAAGGGAACAGCAGGAGGCAAGTGTGTGAGCAAAGGAGAGGTAGGTAGGAAATGTCATTAGAGAGTTAATGCAGGGGCCAGAACATGTAGGACTTTGCAGACCATTGTAAAGGCTGTGGCTTTTATATATATATATATCTTAATTGATTTCAGAAAGAGGAAAGGAGAAGGAGAGAGAGAGATAGAAACATCAATGATGAGAGAGTCATTGATTGAGCCCACAACCTGGGCATGTGCCCTGACCGGGAATCGAACCCCAATCGCCTGGATCCCAGGTCGATGCTCAACCGCTGAGCCATACCGGGCCGGGCAAGGCTGTGGCTTTAACTCTGAGAGAAATGAACAGCTATTGGAGGGTTTTGAGAAGTGGAAGCAATGTGTTTTGCCTTTGATTTTTAAAGGACATCTCTGGTTGCTGTGTTAAGAATAGACTGGGGGTAGGAGAGGCAAGGCTAGAAGCCAGGAGACCAGACGGGAGGCTATACCAGTCATCCAGGCAAGAGATGATGGTGACTCACACCAGGTTGGTAAGAGCAGAGGTGGTAAGAAGTGGTCACATTCTGGACATATTTTGAAGGCAGAGATGACAGGGCTTTCTGATGGATTGGATGTGTGGTATGAGAGCAGTATCAAGAATAACTTCAGCCCTAGCCAGTTTGCTCAGTGGCTAGAACATCGGCCCGAGCACCAAAGGGTCATGGGTTTCATTTCAGCCAAGGACACGTACCTCGGTTGCAGGGTCGATCCCTGGGGCACCTGTGGGAGGCAACCAGTTGATGTGTCTCTCTCACATTGATGTTTCTCTCCCCCCCCCTTCACTCTCTCTGAAAAGCAATGGAAAAAATATCCTTGGGTGAGGATTAAAAAAAGAATAACTTCAAGGATTTCAGCCTACAGAAGGATTATACACCCTTATCTCATTGCCCTCAAGGTTAGCCCAATTTGCTTTGCCCTTTCCAGTGTGAGAATTGACATGTGTCATTGCCAAGCAGAACTAAGAGCCATTAGGTGATAGGCACTTTTTCTTTTCACTCTCTATGAGACTGGCAATGTCCTGGGTAAGGGTTGCTCCTTCAGCCTGCGTCCTGAAATGGTAACATAGAGCAGAGATGCAGTCGACCCACAGTGGACAAGAAGCAGGAGTGAGAAATAAATGTTTATTTTTATAAGCTGCTGAGATTTTGGGGTTGTTTGTAACCTCAGCATAATTTAGCCTATCCTGGCTGATACAAAGGAATTTAAAGCTATAAGGCTGTAAGAGACCTCTAAGGGAGTGAGTGTATGGATAAGAATGTCCCAGGGGAGACAGGGAGAGGAGGAGCCAGCACTGTAGGCTAAGGAGGAATGGCCAGTGAGGTGGGAGGAAAACTAGGAGTGTGGTGTCAGAGAAGCCAAGTGAAGAAAGTGCTTTTGGGAGGAGAGACTGAGAAACTGATGATGAGTTAAGAGGAGAACTGAAAATTGACTGACTTAGTAACATAAGGGTTGCTGATGACTGTGACAAGAACATTTTTGGTAGAGTTGTGGGGATGAAAGCCTGATTGAAGTGGGTTCAAGAGAGACAAGGACTCTGTGGCACAAACAACCCAGTTTATTTATTTTTTTAATTGCAAGAGAAAAAGAGGGAGGAGGAACCTGTAGATTAAAAGAGACATATATACAGGTGGGAAAGTTTCTGTAGCGTATTGCTAGGAGTGGAAGTGCTGGATCCTAGCACTTAAAGCATATTTAACTTTACGAGGTGATGCTAACTTGTTTTTCAAGGAGATTGTACCCATTTACACCTTCACTATGGTGTATAAAAACTCTAGGCACTCCATATCTTCAGCAACACTTGGTATTGCAGACTTTTAAATTTTTTGCCCATTTGTGGGTATAAAATTATTATCTATTTTAATTGGAATTTTCCTTATTGCTAATGTGGTTGCACATCTTTTCACGTGTGTTTTGGTCATTTTTGTTTACTCTTCTCTGAAGTGCCCATTTACATCTTTCATTTTTTTAAAAATCAGGTTGTTTGCCCTTTTCTTATAATTTTAAGAGTTCCTTATGTATTCTATATAACAATCATTTCTTAGTTTATATGTGGCAAACATCTCCAATTTGTGGCTGATCTTTTAACTTCATTATTTTTTATAATAGTTTTTATTATTTAAGAAATGCCCTGATGTCATAAAGATATTCTCCCATATCGTGTTTTAAATTTTCTAAAGTTTTGCCTTTCTCATTTAAGTTTTTAACCCATTTGGAACTGCATTTTGTATATGGGTAGAGATATAATTTTATTCCCCCCCAAGCTCCATTTCCTGTCAGATTGCTGTCCTTTCGTCACTTTATTCCCTCAGCCTGATGGTGACTGTTTCTCCAAGTTGAATTTCATTTATTTATGGCTCCTCTGCTAGATTCCGTCAACCAAGTTTTCTCACCTTCTTGGACTTGTCCTAAGACTTTAGGACTCTTCTCAGCCTCCAGACATCATTTTTTAAAATAGATAGAGGAATGGTTAGGGCAACCACCAAACCCTTTCCATGTCTAAGTTTAAGCACCAACCCCAGCAGACTCATTCCATCTGTCATCACAATATAAGGTCACTGAAAGGGAAGATTCAGCAGACATTTTAAGGTTCTTGGACTGCTAAGGCCATGGCCTTAGTAGTGAGTAGGTATAAGGTGATAGGGGAATGAAGGGATGGAGGAGAAAGATATAAAAGGTGGGGAACAGAGAGGGGAAAAGGACAGAGAGGGCAGAGTTGGGGGGAAGAGAAGGAAAGAGGAAGGAAGGCAACAGGGCGATTGACAGGGGTGGAGGACAAAGAGCAGAGAGAGTAGAGGAAAGGTAGAAGCAAGGGATGGGGCTGAGGTTGATGAAGAGGTAATGGAATAGAGGTGAGGCATGAAGAGAGAGATAGGAAGTGGGGAGAAGGGAAGAAGGATAAAGGTTAAAGGTGGAGAACATTGGCTTAGGGACCCTGACTCCCAAGAGTTCACACAAAATACCTTTCTCAGCAAGGACTCCCAACTTTGAAGCTCCTAGCTGGGGTCTAGGTTCAAGTAGCCAACGAGTGGCTCAGGTCCACGACTGCTCTTGGCCTACAGCGTCAGTCTCTGAACTCTGCTTGGAGGAACAGGAGGGAGACAGGGGATAGGGGCAGAACGTCGGGCCACAGCTTTCCCCAGCCCGCATCCCTGTCGCTTCAGAGTACTCTCATCTCCCTTCACACCCCATTTCCCTTCACACTCCATCCAAGCTCTAACTTCATCCCTTTCCGCCTCCACAACAGCAAGGTCTGAGCTCACCTAACACCGAATCTTCCCGTTGGCCCCTCCTTCCCGTACAGTCCTCGGCTCCCCGGGGTCCTTTCAATTCCCGACCCTGTTCTAGTTTTGAGCCTTCTAACCGGCCAGACTAAAGCCACAGCCCATCTCCCACCTTCCTCCTGCTCTAGAGACCATAACCCTACTGTGACTGACTCGTCTCAGCAAGCGTGATCTCTGATCCCGTCTGCTTACTCGGATCCGAGAATCTTCTCAGTCCCCTAGGAAATGCTACCTTCGCGATTCGATTTGTATTTGCGGCGGCTGGTGTTGCCCAGCAACAAGGAAGGGGGCGGGACCCAAACGCTATTGGTAAAC